CCCCTACTTGTATAGAAGATTGAGCGTCTTTTGTAGAGAATCATGTTCTGATGTAAATTCTCTTCTTTTTGGTATAGTTCCTGTATACGGGAGTTCTCTCCCTTGTGATTAATACATTACCTTATAACAAAAAAGGGTTAGAGATGAGATGGTTTCTTATAAAATTGTCAGCTAAAGATTTGCTCACTTGTACAATTCATCTTTTAGTTTAAATTATACTGGAAGCATGGAAGCAAGTAGATACAGAGGAAACTTTCATGAAACCAGTAACTCCATGACAGCGAACCTTATCTTTTATCTCTGATTTTGAACTGTTAAAAGTCATGAAGAATATAAATTTTTAATTTGTTGTTGATGCTTAAGAGAATTGTACAAATTTGTTATTAGTAAAGTAAGAAGCTACTGTAAGAAGCTATTGTCAAAAGACATGATTATACACATCACCCATACGACAACCTAGATGCATCAGCTCTGTGGCAAAAAGAAGAGAAGAATTTTGTTTGCTTACTATAAGTTACTGAAGTTTGGTACCCCTTCCCAATTGCATCCGTTAGTGTATTAGGTAGCAACTCATGGGGGCAAAAGAAGAAACAGTTGCCAAGCCAACATAAACAACTAACATTGAACCTGGATCAGCTGCTTCTCATTGTGTGAGTGACCTATGAGAAATCTAACACTATTGCAAAACCCTGATAGGTGAAACAAAGCACAGAAGTGAGTTCAGTTTCTCCTATTAAATAGACAAAAGCGAGTTCGGTTCTTCTGTTAAATAGACAAAAGTCAGTTCAGTTTCTGCTAACAAAATTACAAATTATAGAAAAATCTGTCAGAAAATACAAATACTTTTGACACATAGGGCAAAGAATAGTTTCACAAAGTCAAGCAGATGATTTCTCAAATTTACCCCTGTTCGTCCCACTCAAGTAAAATAATCACATTAAACTCCACATATCGAATTCGAATCTCTTTGGCTCACTGTCCTCCTAGCCCTCACACTACAAGAATATCTCCTTAAGTCTCTTCTTCCTTCACTCTTGATTCTCCTGTATGTATATCTTTCGCTTATCATTTTCACTTGTAAACGAAAGAACCTTTTTTTTTTTTTTGGGTTTTGAATTTGCCTAAACTGTGGGTTTTCTTTTCCTAATTTTTAACTGTTTTTGGTCTGGGATTTTGGATAATGCAAGATATTAAGAAGATTTCTGATATTGCTCAAAGTTGCTTGACGACCTTGATCGCCAAAGATTCTCAGGTAAGTTTAGTGGTTTAAAATCTTTTTGGTCATCTTCTTGCTTGTAATGGGTGATGAATGTTGCAAAAACCTAATTTTTGTCTGCTTGGAATTTTTGGGGCAATTGAAGTTCTATTTCAAAATTGTTATGAAAAACAAAACTAATCCCCCATTTGCAGAAGTTTACTCCAAAAAGAACTAATTTTGCATTAAAATTCTTGTCGGATGTTCTATCTGCATTTGTATGAGTTGCAGAAGGCAAATGCTTAAGCTGAATGAGACTACTGGAACCTAGTGGTGCATTCTTATGCATTTTTTGTGTTATTTTTGCAACTAATACGTTATGGACCTAAGAAAATGATATGTTACAATCTTAAAAAAATTATCTATGTTAAAATACAACAAACAGGACGCTCACTGCAGCTATAACTGATTACATATAATGAGAAAAACAGACACAAAAAGATACCTTGACATAGCTATGATTATGAGTGTATATAACATATATAATGAGCATATTAGGACATTTCTTGCCTAACATTTTAGCCTCGTGGGAATTTGCACCCTAACCCGCTTAACTTAGGTATCAGAGTGCCACCAAAAGTCTAATGTCAAACATGTCGTCTGTGATAGGAAAAACAAAGCTTTCTAAGAACTATATTTCTATGCAATTTATTTTGTTTTTTCGTCTATCACTGGGTGTATCACTCTTCATATACAAGCACACAATATTAACTACATAAACAAATTTTTTTCTCTCTTCTTCCTTTTACTAGATAGCATGAGATGAATATGATACGAGAAAAGAATTTTTTTCTAATAAAGATATTTTCGTTCTTTTAAGCCAGGAGGAAAATATATAGATATTCAGAAGAAAAATGTATAGCATGGGAGGGCTGGAGATGGGAGTTAAATAGAAGATACAAAATTGTATTTATACTATTGTGGCTGTATTGCCTTTTTTCTTGTTGAAGGTATGGGGTTAGGTTTGTCATTTCAAAAAGGATAAGAAATTGACAAGATTATAAAAAATAGTTTGCACCAAATTTACGTGCCTCCCCTTGAATAGTTCAAATTAATGTGTCTTTTAGGGACCATATTGAATGGAGATTATTTATACCGTCTTTTTCAATGTTGCTATTGAAAATTGCAATGTTATATTTTTGGGACACTTTGGTACAAAGTGATTGATGTTGCCATGCTAATTACTATGTGCTTGTAAAGATGTAGATGCATCATTTGAATCTTGTCCCACTCTTTGTACTGAGGAAAATATTCAATCTTTAGGAGGTGTAATACAAAAGATGGAATGTCACTATATGATTGTTTGAGTTGTAACAGTGTGACAAGGTTCAGATGAATCATATTAAATACAAAACATGCAATATCACAGTATCAGATTGCTTGAAATTGTGGATTTATTCTTTGAGACTTTGTCCAATTTGTATCTCCTTGGTCCTTTGAAGTTGAATGAACCTCAACTTTGTAACCAATTCACAAGTTTTGCTTCTTTTTGTCGCTCTTCTACTGTGCCTTGGCTTGTAAAGTTGGTTTATTTTATATTTTCTATTTGTGCCTTGACTTGTACAATCTATATTGCCGGTTTTGGTTGGAGGATGAGAGACGAAAATAGAAGCACTGCAGTGTTGTTGTCTTTGAAAAGAAAACTAGGTCTTTGCTAAAATATCATATCGGTTATCTGCATGTTTGGGACTAGATTCTTTCAATTTCTTCAAATATCTGTGGAAGCCATTTTCAGTGAGCTAATAATCTATTTTTTAGAAAAGCTACTTGTCAGCACTTATTTTGGTCAATGCTGTGTGTGTCTTCACGTGGCAATAACCTGTTCAAAATTGCTTCTATCTTTTTCTTTAATGAAGTAATTGATTTCATTACTGGCATCAAGAAGATGCATAATAGTTACAAAAGAGTTATAGCAAAAAGGAATAATGTCAGCTCCAATACAGATGTTCAGGCTAATACTAAGGAGCTAACAAAATTCAAATAACTATCGGGGGAATCTATGGGGGATAAATAAACCCAAGTGAATAAAAACATAATACAATTAACTTTGAGAGATTGGAAAGTAGTTGATAGTCCATCAAAACATCTGCTATTCCTTTCCTTCCAAATACTCCATAAGCTCCAACTCTCAAAAGCCTCCCTGATGTTATGTGGCATGACCCATCTGAGTCCAAAAAGAGAAATAAACATATTCCAGAGATACAGCCTGCTGCAACTGGGCAGTGTAGGAAGAGATGGCTATGTGATTCTGCCTCCCTCTGGCACATGTAGCATCTACTGTCAATCTGAAATCTGAAAATTTCTTCTGACTAAGTTGTCCTGTGTTGACATGATCCATGGAGAGCAGTCCAGTTGAAACACGCAACTTTAGGTGGCAGTGTAACTTTCCATATTAGCTTCCAAGGCCAGTGGTCGGTGATTGCTTTTTGAGCTTCTGATAACTTGTAGGCTGCTTTCACGGAGTACCTTCCTGCATGTGCATTCCCCCATCTGAACTGGTCTGGTACTAAGTAAATAGGTTGTTACTGGAGCAGCCATTCAGTGTGGCTAGTAATCTGACTAGCTCTTCAAATTCCCAGTCTTGCAAGTTCCTTCTGCATAGTATGTTCCAGTTGTCTCCCTCCGTACACTGCAAGATTGTTGAATCTGGATCTCTGGCTATCTGAAATATCGCAGGGTAGTCATTCATCAAAGCAGTGCTTCCTAACCACTTGTCCTTCCAAAACTTGATATGTTGACTATTCCCTACTACAAAGTGTTTGTTCACTAAGAATTTTTCCCATAGCTTACAAATATTCTTCCAGACTCCAAAAACTTTTACCTTATCAAAAAAAAAAATATTCTTCCAGACTCCAACTCAATGGGGTGCTCTTGATAATTTAGTGCACCAATGATTCAGGACTCCATGTTTGGCGTTGACAACTTCCTTCCAAAGACATTGCTCCTCCTGTGTGTACCTCCATAGCCATTTCATTAACAAGCATTTGTTATGAAGCGCTAAGTTTTTTATGTCTAATCCGCCTTGGTGCTTTGATAATTGAACCTTAGACCACTTGACCGGGTGAAATTTGTGATCCTTGTTGTTCCCTTCCCACAGAAACTTCCTTCTGATCTTGTCAAGGTGTTTCAGGACCGTACTACTCATTGGATATAGTGACATATAGTAAGTGGGGATGCTATCAAGGACACTATTAATCAGGGTCAATTTTCCACCCATTGATATATACTGCAACTGCCATGATGCTAGTCTTTTTTCAAACTTTTCAATTACCCCATTCCATATAGCTTCTGATTTAAATTTGGCCCCTAGTGGAAGCCCCAGATAGGTAGTTGGGAAAGTCCCTAAGCTACAGCCCAGGAATACTGCCAATTCCTCCAGGTTATGCACCTCATTTACGGGGTAAATCACACTCTTGAGCATGTTGATATGCAAACCTGAAAGAGCTTCAAAAATAAGTAGAGTTAGGTTTAAATAGAGCACCTGATTTCTGTCTGCCCCACAGAAAATCAGTGTCAAAATTGCTTCTATCTTGAGTTGAGTACTTATTAGCACTCTTGGTATCTCTAGAATATTGTAGAGAACAAGCTTAGAAAAGGAAAAATTGTATCCCTAAGTTTTCAAGATAATAACAAGGAGGTAGCCTTGATAAACTTTCTATCTTCTCTGGCTGGATGGTTGTTGAAAGGTGAGCATGGGCTTATGAAATCCCTTTTTATCATTTTCACCGTGACTGCTCGTCCAAATCACAGGATATTTAATTACCCCCTCCCTCGAGTAGTTTAAGCTATTTATGAGAATTCTGCAACTTCTTCAAGCTCTTCATGAGGATGAATATCCTGTTTGTAATATTTGGGGAACTTTTACCATATTGATGTAGGAAACTGTGGTTCCTCTATAATCATTGAACCTAAATGATAGTGAAAAATATTGCAAGTCTTGTCATATTTTTGAGGGTGAAACAGTAGGCAAGTAAGAGGTTTTGAAGGTTTGAGAAAGCTCGACAATTTTTGGGGTCGTTTTGGATTTACATTTGAATTTTTTCTAACAGAAGTAAATTGGAAAGAATCAACAGTTTAACAATTCCATGGAGAGTTCTTCAGGACTAATCTTTTTAAGTTAAGTCTTCATAGACCTGGTCATATTGATGTTAGTATTATCCCACTGCCAATGTCGGTGCCAATGTTGGTGCCAGTGTTATCAAAGGGCGAAAAGCGCAAAAAAGCTCTAAGGTCTGGTGGGGCTTTAAGCGCAAAGCACAAATAAAGCGTGTGTTTTAACGAAAAAAGGAGCATACGGAGAAAAGCTACAAATATGTATGTGTAGTCCAAGACTAATATTTATAAGCATGAATACCAAATATATGGACAAAGAAATTGAAGAAAATTTACGATAAAGTGAAATATCAACTGTTTAGTGTTGCATCTTCCGGATTACGCTCGTTAGCAAGAAAAAGTATGCCTTGGAGCGTTGATGACAACATTGAAGCGTCCGTTAAGCGAGGCGAAGCGCTCAACATGTTTTGAGCCTCGCTTCAGGGCTTAAGCACGCCTTTGATAACACTGGTGCCAAAGAGGAATCAGTCGTAGACATACGATCTTGCACTCTTATGATTTGTGTCATTGATTCCATCAAACAAAACCTGTTTGAGGCTGCCTCTTATTTAAATTTGGATGATTTGCAAGCTAAGTCGAAATGCAATTCAAGTTGAAATCAAATATGAACTTAAAAATGCATATATATTGGAAATTATGTAAATAGGACCCAGATTAAAGCATGAACGATTACCAAGTGAAAACATAAAGGGCATGGTATAAGTTCTTCAATCCCTCTTATTCTAACATCACAAATAATTAACTTGTCCTTTTCGTCATCAAAACTTTGATTAAGAGAGCATGTTAAATAATTCAATAGCGAAAATTGTAATACTGAACGATACATGCTTAAATTTAGGAGCAAAGTCATATGATCAAAGGAAAAAAATCTAGGAGCAAAGTCTCTTCATTTCCTTTTTGATATAGGCCTTGGTATTGGAAATTGCTTTTTGTACTTATGTTAATTAATTGAAGAAGGTATCATATATATTCTTTTGAAGTCGTGTTTCGTGTCCAAAAGGAAAGAACTTAAGTGCTATCTCCTCCTGCTTCAATGTCAAGACATAAAGAAACTTTTGTCTTTGAGTTTTTTGTGTGAGAGACGATGGGCTAACCTTTAGCTTTGATGATTGGTCTGTGGAGCTTTAATGGCAGTAATTCACGTTTACCTTCTGGTGTTATGTAGGGTGCTTAACAATTTGGAGTTCTTTTTCAGGCTTACCTTGAGAAATGGTAAATTTAGCTCGTTTCTCGATTCCCTTACACTGCAAGTTTTCGAATTCCTGCTGGTCTTATAAATCAGAAAAGAAAGTATATGTTCCCTTTTTATTCAGATATTTGATGAATGGAGGAAAAAACATTTATTCTTTGTTTGTATTTCTTGTTTCAATCCCGTGCAGGACAACAATCTTTCTGGAGAAGACAATGACAACATTGACTGGGATACCGAAGATGAACTAGAAATACAGGAAATACAGGACACAACATTTTCCTCATGCATGGATTTAAGAACTACTGGACAACATACTGTTAGATGTGATGGGGAGGTAAATGCTTTAAGCCTATGTTGATACCTACTGATATTTCTTGTCAAGGACATCTTTTTTTTAACCCAAAAAAGGAAAAAAAAAGTTCACACCATTGCATCTCAACTTATGGTCTTTTTTGTTCTCTTACCTGAAGGCAAGCTCATCATCAGTACCCTGTCAGTCCAAGTTCATTCAGCAGTTTGTAGTGATGGGATTTCCTGAAGCATCTATTGCAAAAGCAATAGAGCAAAATGGTATTTGAATTTGACTAGTCTTTATACAACTAAAAATTTTGATTTTTCTTTTGTGGCATTTATGTTATGTGATTTGGGACGCAGGAGAAAATTCAGATTTGGTGTTGGATGCTCTTCTGACATTCAAGGTGCGTAATGTTTGCCTCATTGTAGTAGAAGGTCACTGTCTGAGGGAATGAAGATGGTTCAATCCACCCCTCAGTTGGCAACCACCTTTTGTTCTTCTAATAGTTGCCTATAGATGCCACCACTTGCATAACATGGTTTATAGAGAGAAGCTCATTTACATGTTCCAAGTAAAGTTTAGATCAATCAGGGTTTTGAATGAGATGGTGACACCTATTAATGTAGAGATTGGGCCATGTGACTGTGCAATGAATGATGCCAATTGTTCTTTGTTGGTCTGCACAACTCTGTTAGCAAGCTTGAACTGTATTAAGAATATGCATGACTTCTCCTTTCATTTTTTCACAAGTAATGACCCTCTAATAGACTAATACTAACAAACAGACCCCCCC